CTTCACACATTGTACCCACATGAGGAATCGAACGTGATGAGCGTGACGAGCGAACGCTTCAACCACTAGACTACCCCACCGCACCTACACACACAAGGAAGCAATCGAATGAGCTGCAACACGAGCATAGTATTGTCTGTAACACAATCCACTCTCAGTTCAAGACATAAACCCCAGGGTCATGCAGGTTGAAATCGATTATTGGAATCATTTCCACAAAGACGTCTCCGAGATGATGTGTAGCGTGAAGTTATGGCACTGCACCAAGACGATCTTTGCCTACTGTAAACCTCTTTAAACGAGTGAAAAGATATTTATTGCGAATTAAAGTGTACGTGAAGATAAAACTTAAAAGCACTTGTGGTTGAGTGAACATTGAATTGTACGACTTGACGCAGTATCGTCGCAGCATGTCAGACAGAACACCTTAAAGTGCAAACCCATTATCAACGGATCTTGGCAGGTAATGGACGTTGTGGAAGTCGATCATGCACGGCTGGCCGTACTTGTTTCAGTGAATCTCCACTCGTGAAGATCCGGGTTAGAACTGATCTTCAGTAACCCGTGCTTGTCGTAAGAGGCGACAACGGGATCGGGCGGTCAGGCTCGCTGGCTTGGTTGATAAATGTCGTCGGTTCCCAATTGCGCAGATCGATGCTCATGCTGTTGATCACTTGATTGTCTGGTCCAGACTCGATTATTTACAGACCGCCGCCATATAGCTGGAATATTGCTAAGTGCGGCGTAAAACTAAACTCACTCACTCACTCACTCAGTGATTCTCCATCTCCCATCCGACCTGAAGTAATAAAACGCTTTCTGATCTGAGTTTTCATTCCGACGTGAAGTGACCCGTGAATTAGTCTTCAGCAACCGTCTCGCTTGTCGTACGAGGTGACTAACGGGATCGGGTGGTCAGGCTCGATGACTTGGTTGACACACGTCATCGTACCCCTGTGCTCATGCTGTTGATCACTGGACTGTCTGGTCCAGACTCAACAGTTGCTGGAGAACGTCACGGTTCGTCACGAGTCTATGAGAAAGACATGAAAAAGCATATGGATGGATGAAGCGTTCCGGACAATTTTACTCTGGCCATTTGTGTGTGAGTGAGTGAGTGAGTGAGTGAGTGAGTGAGTGAGTGAGTGAGTGAGTGTGTGTGTGAGTGAGTGTGTGTGTGTGTGTGTGTGTGTGTGTGTGTGTGTGTGTGTGTGTGTGTGTGTGTGTGTGTGTGTGTGTGTGTGTGTGTGTGTGTGTAAAAGCCTTGTGGTTAAAGGGTTCGCTAGTCACGATATTGCTGTAATATTGTTAAAAGCAAAGTTAAACCATACTCAATTACCACCCATTAACCCCCATGCACCCCAGAGGGCTGCAATTTTTCAGAGCAAAGCTGAAACCACATACTTACAAATACTTGTTGACATTTGTTGATGAGCTGCTAGAGAAATATCCAAATTTCCTGAGACCAATACAGGTGGGATAACTCCCAAACAACCACTCCATCCTTGCATACCACTATCTATCTAGTAGTGTACGTATAGACGTGGGAATTCTTTTGTCTTAAATTGACGAGCAATGAAATGGATGTGAAGAATTCATCAAGATAGTAAATGTAATCACATACTGCTTAGAGATGAGGAGGCTCTACGCTGCTGAGGAATCAGTAGGCATCAGGAGTGTCTACATCTAGCGGCTAAGCCATGCCTTAAATCATTCTTCTTTATGGGGCGGTGGGGTAGCCTAGTGGGTAAAGCGTTCGCTCGTCACGCCGAAGGCCCGTGTTCGATTCCCCACATGGGTAAATTGTGTGAAGCCCATTTCTGGTGTCCCCCGCCATGATATTGCTGGAATATTGCTAAAAGCGGCATAAAATGAAGCCCATTTCTGGTGTCCCCCGCCATGATATTGCTGGACTATTGCTAAAAGCGGCATAAAATCAAACTCACTCACTCATCTTTATTTTACTACTGATTCCAGTACAAAACCCTACACCATATCATACCAACTAATATCCGTTTAAAAAGAATGGGCTATACTAAATCAGATAGATGTGACTTTTGTTCCTACAAAACAGATACATTGCAGCATTTATTTTGGGAATGTGATCTTGTACGTCCACTGTGGACCAAACTGGAAGGTTGGCTAAAAGAAAAAGCTCAAATAGAAACTCATTTTAATAAAGAAAGTATACTCATTGGTTTTCCAGAGAGAAACAATGACCCACTAAACATAATCATCTTGATTTTCAAAAAGACTATATTTGACCATAAACAGAAACGAAAGCCAACCTTCCAAACATTGATATACTAAGTCCGGGATAATTATAATATTACTAAATGTGCAGCTGAAATGTTTCACAGATTCTGGTCTTCTTGGCATTCTCTGTTCATGTAAATGTATTGTGTTATTGATACCTGTAAAAGTTTTAAATAACAAAATAAATAATTACTTTACTGCTGATAATGTTATTGTCTGTATGTAGCTTTACATTGCATGGCATACAGTGAGGGAGGCGTTTCCGTGTAGGTTCCAGCAAGTGTTAGAACCTACACTGAAACACCGTTCTCGCTGTAATAAGGAAGTTGTTCATCCGTATATTGTTATCCTTCCTTACTGCTTCTAAATGCCTCTCAAAGAAGTTACATTGTACGGGTTTGACTTACTGGCTACAGTTATTTCTTTGCATATTTTGCCGATGGCATAAACACCATAAATAAAACAATGGTGGAACGGAAGGGGATATATTAATTTTGTGTAGTTTCTAGGGGTGGGTATTGCAGAGAATTTTCATATCGCGATATATTGCGATGCGAAAGCATATATTGCAAGAAGTTCTTTTTCAACAAAAAAAACCTACTTCTAATCGAATTAATGCTTGATTTATAAGCAAAAACACAAAAAATGACTATGCTTGATTAAGCTTTAATAAAAATATAAACAATAGTTGCCACAAATAAAAAAGGAAAGGAAGAATTAAAAAAACGGAAACATCCGAAGATTTCCGAGTGTTACGAAGTTTTCCGAATGCATGTCAAAATACCGGTTTTCGATCAGCGTATCGTTTTCATGTCTGATCCGGTAAATACCGGTAAAGCGGTTATATTGCGCAGCCCTAGTAGTTTCAGATATAACGTCCTTTGACAGACAAAAACAACTAAAGCCAAGAATAGCTCTTAAAACAACTTTATTTATCATAATGCATGTAAATAAATGTACATTGTCTACTTGAAACACAAACAAGATATCAGAAAATAAAAGACGGACGGGAAGATAGCTGGAGGTGCTAGGTTTACAGCAGTCAAAATGTACCAAAGTCCAACCTTAACCGTCGTGGAGACAACAAATCGGTGTCGGAGTTCCAGACATATCAGCAGTAGGTCACAAGATTAGTACAGAAATATATAGAATATTCTAGGAAAATGGACGGCAAATCTGTTTTTTTAAGAAAAATAGATGACGCAAGCATGCAAGGGTGTTGACCATATACAGAATCACATTAAATCATGTCATGCATTGAATCAAAGTAACAATTGCCAATTGCTATACAAATACGTTTTTGCACACTATTATCTATATGTTTGCAACTACTATTAGCTCAAACAGAATTTGTTATGAAGAATGATGATAAATTTATGGATATACAACTTCTTTATTCTGTGAAAGGCAACGTTTCGACATAGATTCTAATGTCGTTGTCAAGCAAGTGATTTAGCATCGCCTTTCACAGAAAAAAGAAGTTGTAGATTCATAACATTATCATCATTGTCATCAACTCAACTTTTAAAATGTCCCTCAAAGGAGAATTTGTTGTGACGTATATGTCATCATTTCCATCACCCTTTTCTTGATCTAAAATAGAAGTATGTATTTTTATCAAAATGTATTTTTTACCTGTACATAGTTTTTAAGTGGGAAGAAGGGTAGCAGAATGGTTCACGCCGACGACTCGGGTTCCAATCCCGACATATCTACAATTAGTCCGTTTCTGGTGCCTGGGCCGTTATATTGCTTGGATATTGTTCATAGCGGCATAAAACCATATTCACTCACCTACGGTGCATGATTAAATAAGCATCACATGGCAAGTCAACGCAATGAAGGTCCGGGTTAGAATTGATCTTCAGTAACCCATGCTTGTCGTATGAGGCGATTAACGGGATCGGGTGGTCAGGCTCGCTGACTTGGTTGACACATGCCATCGTATCCCAATTACGTAGATCGATGTTCATGCTGCTGATCACTGGATTGTCTGGTCCAGACTCGACTATTTACAGACCGCCGCCATATAGCTGGAATATTGCTGAGTGCGGCGTTAAACAAACAAACATGTCAAGTCGTGCTTAGGTTGTGATCGTAATCGAATGTAATTGCATGTGTCCGTGAGATACATATTTAAAGGTATTTTACAATTAATATGCGTCTGACATAAAAGAAAAATCTTACAGATTCGTTCATGGTCAACTAACGAATCTGTTACTACAAGTATACAAATACAAAATACAACCATTATTTATCAACATGTATCATTATACAATATCATCAGTCGACTTACAACGTAGTTGTATATGTTTTGTTACTAAAGTAATCATTGTTTACATGATTTACATATCATCCTTACATGAACATATTTTTTTAAATTTCCTAAAACTAACAACAAATAACGGTTAGTGGGGTAGCCCACTTGTTACAGCGTTCGCTCGTCGGGCCGAAGACCCAGGTTCGACTCTCCACATGGGTACAATGTATGAAGCCCATTTCTGGGGTCCAAAACCGTGATATTGCTGGTATATTGCTAAAAGCGGCGTAAAACCATACTCACTCACTACAACAAATAATGCGAGATGTTTGAAAGACAAGTAGTCCTGCTGTGAAAACGTGCGATATATGACGTATATTCGAGACTTATGCAATATGACGTATATTCGAGACATGCGATATGACGTGTATTCGAGACCTATGCGATATGACGTATATTTGAGACTTATGCGATATTGCGTATATTCGAGACTTATGCGATATGACGTATAATAGAGATTCATGCAATATGTCAATAGACCTATGCCATATGGCGTATAATCGAGCCATACGCGATATGACGTAAACTTGAGACTCATACGTTTTCATATTCTCATCACTGTCTTCATGACTTACAGTGAAACCTCGAAGGCCTCGGATTATATTTTTAGGAAAGTTGATGTATTTACAAGCATAAACTGCCCGGCACAATAAAGTGTACTCTTGAAAAATGGATTTGATCAATTAATTACAAACGTTATAAAATCGTTACTGGACTTAATGTTTGGTAACAATGAACCAACTCAAATTGATGGTGAGAACCATCTTACCAGCATTCAGTTATCCGGATATGTGTAAATTCGTACCACTGCAAAGGGAATGGTACCGTCTGGATAAAGAGGGTTTCACTGTCCATGTACAAGCAACAATACTAAACTGCCTCATTGTAGGTTAATGGTTGGGATCTTGACTGTAGCTTCCCCGTGCATTTTTCCTTTAAATACCTCATAAAATATTTCATACGCTTATTACCAAAATAGGTTTATAGAAAAACCAAAATGAATAGTTGTACTAATGGTTACTATTTCTAAATGAAAGTATGTGTACGTCATATTATATGTTTCCGTTTGTACTGCTTAGGACAGCCAGATAATTCAGACTGTAGATCTTCCAATGACAAAATTACTCAAAATTAGTTCTATCTCGAATCGTAATATGAATTATTATACTTTCGTCATTACCGTCTCTTTTCATACTCAGTACATCGACTTGTTCGGAATGGCAAAAATGGTCGCCAATGAAAAGTAGGCACGTGCCACGAAATTTAGAAGAACACCGACCTTTGATGGCTGCCAAGAAATGGCAAATGGTGTCGAGCTTTTTGTTCCAGTCTTAATTATGACATATATCTGACACACGGGTTTCAAAGATTTTTCAACGATATATCTTTGTCGCAGAATTCATTCTTCGATTGGCACTTGTGACGTCAATCTGTTGGAGAATTCAGTCATTGTTCGATTAGTCACATTTCTGCAAACTGGTCATCATCCTTTGAGTGTCAAGGACAAATGCGAAATTGTGTCATTGACAAAAAATCATCCTAACGTCAGAGTCATATGCGACGTCAGCAATAAACACATTAATATCTCTTACACGGAAATAGGCTGGAGATACCTGACATAAAGATCTAACAAAATCACAAGATTACGCCTGTGTTGCTCGTCCGTTTCACAGAGTGGCGATATGGCTTTTGATCTATGAGCCAAGTTCAGATGATAGTGTTTCTTGACAAACATGTATCAATCCCCGTAATTTGAGTCAACCTTCCTTTAGGATGCCTGCCTGTTCACTCTGTTGAAGGCCCCAGATCCATACCGGGAGATACGCAAGTAGAACTGGAACGCTTCATACTTTCGTACCCACGAAAACCTTAAAGATCGAAAACTGGAGTATGACACCTATCTGGCAGCAATGAACTTCTGTGTAGACCCCAAACAACCTATTAAGGCGTACTTGGACGATACAATGGCGGCGTCAGGCGATACTGTTCAATTTTAATTTGCAAACTATTGCATCACGTTTTATTCTATGTACAGTCCGGTCATTCGCTCGTACGTGAAATCCATCACTCGTAGTTTGGCACTTTCGAATGGTTCCAAAAGGACCCCAACAAAACCCACTACCGGAGCGTCTCATACTGCTATGGAAACGCTTCTTCATAAAAAAGTCCAGCTTTTTAATGAAAAATTTGCATATATTTCTTGCATCAAGTGTCCTTCTTCTGCGAATGAGCATCAGATGCAATGCTATAACGTTTAGCTTTAGGCTCCTTTCCATCTGTTCATAATTTGCAAGTCCAAACTTCACGAACGATTTGACACAATTGTTGAACGAGTTATCGTTCCTGATCTTGGAGGCGAAGGTGAAGGTGACGGGCCAACGCGCCATCTCGGCATTTTCCGTGGCTTTTGTTTCTCTTTACAACAACAGCAGTGACAGTTGTTGTTGCAGCACAAACAACAGACGACGCACAAAACTATTATGATGCCGAAAAATAACCCGAATCCCAAGGCCAATCCTTTAACCATTTCCTGTCCCAGGTTGTGCTACAGAAGAGAACAAACAAATAATTGTTATTGCCATACACACTCCAAAATAATCTGTTCAGTATTACATTGCATATGAGAAGGATTTAAAATATTTCCGTTACTGTCCAGTATGGAACCGACATACTTGCAGACCGCCATGACGCATATTATTGACCGAGACGTGAAACAACACTCACCTCACTCACTCACCTAATCTCTCACTCACTCACTCTCGCACGTACCAGCCCACCTTTCTGGGAACTGTTATACTTTAAATGTTCAAAAATTTGCTAAAAAACAACATACCTCCTCCGTGGCTTGGGTTGTTGTCTGGGTCTCTGAAAGGAAAAATTAACTTTAGTACTAATTTGAACAAACAGCTTAAAGTGCAACGAACAATGATATATACTACTCACACTTTGCTAAGGATCACAAAATTCAAACCTTACTTAAACGTAGATTCATAATTTCAAATTGTATCCATTTAAAACTGGATAAATAATAATATGGTAACCCCTCTTTAGGCAAACAGTCACTTTAATCTAACCTTATGCTCTTGATACATGAGAAAACAAAAAATGGTTTCATGGCACCAATTAACCATTTTTAAATCATGGAACGGGTCATTGACAAGTACACAACACCTGTCAATAGCAGGTATGGGATCCACAAGATGAAATGACATACTGAAACCTAGGATCCATACTTACAATAAACTTAGATATTTAAACCAAATTTGACCCCTCATCCATGAATTGATCCTTAGTAAAGTGTGAATAGTATACGTACGGATGTACTTGGTTTACGGTCCTGTAAACAATGCTATAATCATACACGCGTATAAGTGCAATGGTGAAAGAGATCACAAAGTGGATGTAAAATATCAACTTTAGTTTGCAAATTGCCTATTCATGTGGAAACATAACACTCACTGGGAACCAAATGACTCCTGGCATGTAAGAAGTAAAAAACGTTCGAGAAAGCGGTTCATACACAAATTCATCACAATCCTATGTCTGTGGTTAGCACGATGTCAAGCCGAAAATCTGGCTTCTTGTACAACGTGAGGAAAGAATGTGTTGAATGGATAAGTACACTATTCCCTTCATTGCTCAAAGGTGTGTGACCGCCTCAGTGGTGTAGTGGTTAGAGCGTCCGCCTGGAGAGCGGAAGGTCGCGGGTGCGATCCCCGACCGCGTCATACCAAAAGACGTTAAAATAGGGTACTTGTTGGTCCCTGCCTGGCGCTCGGCATTAATGGGTACAACAAGGACTGGTCGGCTCGGAGTCAGTATACTGTGTCTGAGTGGGGTATTCATGCTTCACTGCAGCATGGTATCTCAGTGGGCTAACACTATAAAACCAGCTTAAGTCTTGGCTAGTACAAGCAGCCGCACATACATGTACACACGCATGCACGTCGTCATATGAACGAAATATTCTCAAGTACGACGTTAAACCCAGTTTCACCTCACCTCACCTCACCTCACCTCAAAGGTGTGTCCTTATATGAGTACAAAATGTGTTCCCACAATTGCTCAAGTGTCTTCTCTACATGAGTATGCAATATGGAAATATGCAGGTAGACGATGGTAGACAATGACTCATCCTCAAGTATATGACAGTGACGAAATAGAAATCAATATTTGTGAGACATGTGGAAGCAGCCATGTTTCCCCACGACACAAGGAAGGACGAACACTCAATGGCCCCTTTGTTGCTGTTAGAAACAGTTTTACACTATGGCATCTAAAAGGTGGTCGTGAATCGAACCTAAAGGAGCATGTTCGTACTCCATCATTTCCGAATATCGATATTGCCACCTGAATGCGTTTGTACTATGAAAACTGTTATATTTACCTGTGTTATAGCGACCTATAAAGTGGTCGTACAACTGCATGGATCCGTGAAACAAGGTCCAGCTATCATGACTGCTGTTTTATTGACTTTGGTAAACTGATCATTTCATTGTTTTCCCCATGAAACTGGCGATGCGTAACATAACATGTTAGCCACAGACACACACACCCCGTGTGTACATTTACCGTTATGTTTCTGTAACGGTGTAACATAACGGGAACGGCACGTATGGCACAGGGTGACCTGTGATCCCAGGTTGCAGTGCCTTGATACGAGCTAGTGTTATGACAACTAAAGGTTTTACCTCGTTATTACCCAAAACAAGCTGTATAACAGAAGATACAATTATCTTTGTAATCAAAGGAAACTCTCACGGGCATTTTACGATCCCGAGCCACGCTAGAACACTAGCAACGCCCCATTATTCAGATCATAAATATCGCGTATGTCAAAAAGTATGCAGAAAATCGATAAAATAGGTCTATAAACAAGGATAAGGCGATTGTGGATACAATCGATAAGTGATGCGTTTCAATTTAATTAGAGTTGCAGTTGGTATGCCCCGTTACCAAGTCGACTGTACATTGTAAAATAACGTTATCGCGTGTCGACGGACATGAAGCTTGGAAGAATCGACATGTAGTGTAATATATTGAAGTTTAGTGTCTTCTAGCCCATTACTGAATGCGTAAACCTATTTATGCCGATTTGTTTGAATTGGTTATGTTGTTTGTCCGTATAACAAACATAAAACAAGATGATTAACTTATTTGTATGAACCGACAAGTTGATTAATTATTGTTTTCGTTTCTTTGGTGTTTAACGCCGCATTCGACTATATTAAAGCTGTGTGACGGCAGTCTGTATGTTGTCGAGTCTGACAATCCTGTGACTGACAGCATGATCTCACATTGGTCATATGTTGACTTGTATCAACCAAGTCACCGACCCTAACTCACGGTTCCATTAGTTGCATATTGATAAGCATTAGTTGTAGAATACTAACTCTATACCGGATCTTCACGGGGGACACAACATCCATGAAGATCCGGGTTTGAATTGGTCTTCAGCAACCCATGCTTGTCGTAAGAGGCGACTACAGGTATCGGGTGGTCAGACTCGCTGACAAATGTCATCGTATTCCAGTTGCGTTGGTCGCATCTCATGCTGTTGATCACTGGATTGTCTGCTCCTTATTTACGGATCGCTGCCATATAGCTAGAATGTTGCTGAGTGAAGGAATATTAACAAGGGTTAATGAAGACCAATTCTAACCCGCATCTACAAGTTTACGTCATTATGTGCAATCTTGGTCTGCAGACCCGTGAAGATCCGGGGTAGAATAGGTCTTCAGCAACCCATGTGCTTGCCATAACAGGCGACTATGCTTGTCGTAAGAGGCGACTAACGGGATCGGGTGGTCAGTTTCGCTGACTTGGTTGACACATGTCATCGGTTCCCAATTGCGCAGATCGATGCTCATGCTGTTGATCACTGGATTGTCTGGTCCAGACTCGATTATTTACATACCGCCGCCATATAGCTGGGATATTGCTGAGTGCGGCGTAAAACTAAACTCACTCACTCACTCTGGGTCTGCAATAATGTCTGTATTTGGTAAAAAAGGTTACATAACATATTTCGATAACATATTTCGTGAATAAATGAGTTTTGTCGAGTGTTTCTATTTTCGCTATATGATAGAGAGAGGTAAACGTCCTTGGTTCTGAAAAGTATCTAATCTCTAATCTATTGTGAAAAATACCCTGAAACCATCTGTATCTGTGGCTTTGTACTGAGTGAAAATGTCAATAGAAATAGCAGTTTAATTAAAATACACTGCCGCCACATGATTGACACGATCGGAGAATCAACATCATTTGGCACAATCTACAATACAACCGGAAGCACCGTCCAACGGCATCTCATCACTGAATCTATTAACGGACACAGAGATACCCTTCGAGCAGTAATGATGTAAGGCTTTGCAATCAAGCTCTTCATTCCGCTTTTCGTTAACAGTTTTGGGGCGAGGCAGTCACTATCTGTTTGTGTTTCACCCATTTATATTTGACAGGCGGGGTAACTCCCGTTTACAAGAGTTGACACGAAAACATGTAATCATAAACATTAAACGAATTATGATTAATCTCGTGAGACGGACTACCTGGAATTGTCTATAGGGCATATTTCCTGAACATACTGGTGAAATATATTACCTCAGGCTTCACACACACGCACGTACGCACAGACACGCACACGCACACCACTGTGTATATATTGCCTCTACATGTGCCAGAGCTCCACACAGAAGGAACCTTTGATGTAGTGCTAAGAACCCACCACTGACCATATCTACTTGAGGTTAGGTTTCTGCATTAACAAGCCCTTGTGACACGCACAGCGTGACCGTTGGCGTGACAGACTGGACATGCCCTGGAAACAAATCTGTCGTAATTATATGTTTTCCGCTCTCTGAAAATTTAGTCTGATCCCGTCTGTAAACACCTCTCAGTGACAAGGGGTCTCAGTTCGTGTCAGGGAGTTATGTTTTTGCCGTTTTTTTCAATATTCCAGCAATATCACGGCGGGGGACACCAGGTTTCACACACTGTACGCATGCTGGGAATCGAACCGGGTCTTCTGCGCGAACACTTTAACCACTAGGCTACCCCACCTCCCCGACTATATTGAAAATGTACCTGAAGCTGTCAAACCATGTTGAAGCCATACATGATTGCTTACTGCCCCAGGTTACAAAGAAACACAATGTAAAATATACCTTATCTGTTACATATTCCTAGCAGGGGCGGTGGGGTAGTCTAGTGGTTAAAGCGTTCGCTCGTCACGCTTTAAGGCGCGGGTTCGACTCCCCACATGGGTACAATGTGTGAAGCCCATTTCTGGTGTCCTCCGCCGTGATGTTGCTGGAATATTGCTGGAATATTGCTAAAAGCGGCGTACTTACACACGCGCATATTCCTAGCAAACTGATCATATGTATACTGCTCAAAACAAGTTAAGGATCACCCGATCCTTTATGTAGAGTGACACCAGAGATTTTAAACTTTAATAATATCAAAGAATTTGGTGATCGTAATCTTTACTGGAGTAGTATAACCGAAACCCTGCAATTATTTAAAATATTAATTCGTGCACTCCACATAAAATGCTACCTCTGTAATGTGAAACTGTTTCAGGTTCTTATCTGCCTTTTCATCTTCTCCAGCTGATCGACAGATTTCCAGGAACTTATTCAATTACCTTCAAATATTCACTAGTTGATTGGGTTCTGGGTATTTTTTCATTCCGGTGCCCGGTATTCGTTATAGTTTCAGGAGATAAAAAATGTCAAACGACAAGCAGAAATAGAATCATTTACGTCAAATCGTCATAGCAGTCTATTTGACATATATGTAAAATGCATAATTAAACATATTCCTCTATAGCTGTCAAAATTCTCTTGCGGTTTAATCAC